TGACCAGAACTACCCTTGGTCCATAGCAAACGGCTGAGAGAGGTTACGAAAGGCCAGGCCTCTTGGCTCAGGGGGTGACAGCTCTGTTGTATGGTTTGTTCTCCAGAGTACTCCACCCTGTGGATCAAGCCAAGGCCAGACTTTACTTGAAACCCCATCTTGGCTCTGATGTTTCTTCTTTCTTATTCTGCTTCCCTCACTCCCTTACAGACTGTTTTCCCTGAGAGAACTCCCTCAGTAAATCATGTGCATCTGAACCCCCACTGCAGGCTCTGCTCATAGGGGACATGACTTAAGATAAAACATCATTTGTTCTGCTGTTCTGAGGATAGACTCTTGAAGCAAGTGCAGAAGCAGTGAGCTAAGTTAGCATCTTATTGCAAAAATCTAGTGGTCTGGACAGGGTGGTGACAGTGGAGGTGTCAGGTTTTGGATAAGTTTGCAGGTACAGTCAACTAGATTTGCTGGTGAGTGGGATGAGGTGTGAAAGAAGAAAGTTGAGGATGCCTTTTCCAGGGGTTTTGCCGTTTGCTGAGAAGGGTAAGACTAGGAAAGAAGCAGACTTCTTGGGGAAAGATCCAGACTTTGGTTTTTGATAGTAAATTTCAAATGCCTTCAACCATGCAAGTAGATGTGTTGAGGAGTCAGGTGGATGCACTGCTCTGAAGCTCGGGAGAAATTTGAGCATTTTCAGTGTGTGAATGGTTGTTAATGCCGTGTAAGGGGTCAAGATCACCCACGAACCAATTCATGGAGGGAGTGCAGATAGAGAAGTTCAAAGACTGCTTCCTTAAGAAGAAAGACCTGCTTTCTTCTTCAGAATCAAGGAGGTAGGAATAGATTAAAGGAAGCTGAGGAGGAGCTGACAGTGAGGTAGGAGAAAAACCAGAAAAGTGTGCTATTGTACTGGAAGGCAGGTGAAGACATCTTTGCCTGATGGAGGGAAAAGAGGCTTTGGTTAGATGGTTTCTTTATGTATGGAGATGACACTAGCTGAAGTCTGTACACTCCACTGTACACACTAGGATGCTCCCCCACTCACACACTTACCCACACACATTCTCATCCACCCCCCACACTCACTCACTCACCCACCCTCACACTCTCACACACACACTTACTCCCACACACTCACTCACACACACACACACACACATACTCTCACACACTGATGACCGAGCCCACGACAGAGACCACCTCCCTAGTTGGCAGTGGAAGAGGAGAAAGTAATAGGATGACTTGTGGGAGGAGGATATAAAGGAAAGGAGGGAGGGTACATCTAAATGTAAAAGAAGAGGAGATTCTCCAGGTAGAATCCAAGACTGGCTGTCCTGTGAAGCCTGACCTGCAACCTAAGGTGTGAGCGACATAGGAACCCGACATGGTGTACAATGAGCATCTTCATTCCTCTCTAATTTTGCTTATGATGTTTCCCTTTCTCTTCCTTTGGTAAATGTAAGTCTTCCAAAATATCCCAGCCTGTCTCAGGTGCATCAAGAAACCAAGGAATAAATTTATTTATTTATTTATTTTGTGAGGAAGATCAGCCCTGAGCTAACATCCATGCCAATCCTCCTCTTTTTGCTGAGGAAGACCGGCCCTGAGCTAATATCTATTGACAATACTCCTCCTTTTTTCCCTTTTACTCCCCAAAGTCCCCTTAGATAGTTGTATGTCATAGTTGCACATCCTCCTAGTTGCTGTATGTGGGATGCCGCCTCAGCATGGCCGGACAAGCGGTGCGTTGGTGCACACCTGAGATCTGAACCCTAGCTGCCAGTAGCGGAGCGTGCACACTTAACCGCTAAGCCACGGGGCCGGTCCCCCAAGGAATAAATATTTTATGCTCTGAAGGCCAGAGAATTTTTAGGGGGCAAGATAGGCAAAATAATGCCCCCTCCTCCAGATTCATATCCGAATCCCTGGAACCTGTGGCTATGTTACTTTATAGGCAAAAGGAGCTTCACAGATGTGACTAAGTTAAGGATCTTCAGACAGGGAGATTATCTGGGTGGGTCCAGTGTAACCACAAGATTCCTTATAAGAGGAAGGCAGGAGGATCAGAGTCAGAGAGGAGATGTGATGATGGAAGCAGGGGCAGGGGTGGGAGAGAGAGAGGGTGAGACTGAGAGGGAGAGACAGAGAGAGAGAGAGAGAAAGAGAAAGAGAGAAAGAGATTTGAAGATGCTATGCTGCTGGCTTTGAAGATGGAGGAAGGATTCACAAGCCAAGGAATGCAGATGGCCTCTGGAAGCTGAAAAAGACAAGGATATGGATTTATGGATTTGCTCCTAAAGCCTCCAGAGGGAGGACGACAGGTGGGTCAGAGTCAGAGAAGCAGAGATGTGTCAACAGAAGCACAGATTAGAGTTACGTGGCCGTGAGCCAAGTCATGTGGGCAGCCTCTAGAAGCTGGAAAAGACCAGGGAACAAATTGTCCCCTAGAGCCTCTAGAAGGAAGGTGTACATAGGACTTCTGACTCCATAACTGTAAGAGAATAAATTTGGATTATTTTAAGCCACTAAATTTTGGGTAATTTTTTACGATAGCAATAGGAAACTGATCCAGAAGGAACAAGAGCCCCTCAGAGTGTCTTTTTGCATCTGAGGGAAACATGAAGCAAGGGCACAGACTCAGGGGCAACAGCTCTGCCTCCTGCCCTGCTCCCTGGGACTTGGTACGAGGTAAGAGCCTCTGTGGTCTCTTCTAATTGCAGAGGCTCCTCCTTCCATGCACAAGATGGTTTGCAGTCCTTGCCTGACCCAGAAGCTCTCCTGGACTTCCAGTTTCATGGTGTTTTATTTCCCACTGGAGGGAGAATGATCATGATCTTCTCTGTTGTCTTACCGTGTTGATCTTAGGTTTCCAAGGGGAGACTCATTGGTGATTGTTTGACTATTCCTTGTGCTCATAACATTAATTATTTCTGCTTCAGGTATTACAAAGTTGAACTGCTTCACCTCTGAAGACTTCATAGAAAAATAGCCAGAATATTAATTCTCACCAGTTTCTGAGGAAGATTGTCTGCAAAATAACCGAAGAGGACTTTGTCTTCATTAACACGTCATTTCCTCAAGTTTCCTGCAGTTCCATAACACACAGAGGAATGTTTTGAAGGGCAGACCTGTTTTTTCAACATTATGGGACTACTGCAATAAAGGGCCTCGATTTGGAGTCTGCAGAATTAGTACCATGGAAATCTGGTGTAATGGGAAGGAAATGAAGATCTGAGAACCAAGAGGATCTAGGCTAGCACTCGGCATCCTCAAGACTTACTAGTTTTGCGTCTGTATGTGTTTAACTTGTCTAAGCCACACTTTTCTCATCTGTAAACCAGGAGTACTAAATCTCAATGCTGTTTTTCCCCCGGTCCCTCCATGTCAATGATGGGAGAGTGATGCTCAGCCCTCCCTTTAAGAGAGAACCTACCATGAGGAGTGTATTAGTGGTCAGCCTCCAGCTTCCACACCTTTAGGATCTGCACGCCAAAGCCGTGCTCCCCCCAGGTGCTCCCAGTGATAACTGAGCATAGTGAGGATACCAGAGCTGGAATGTTTTTGCCCAATGCAGACTCCTCTAACGAGTGGTCTTTGCTCTGGGGTACTGTGTTGGCCTAAATGAGACTTTCCCAGAGCTGCAGTGTGGTCTCTTTGTAACCAGTCTTTTTTCCTTCCTTCTCTCCTTTCACAGACGTCAGACCTGCATTGTAGTCCAAAAGCTCTCCACACCTGCTCAAACTCCCTCTCCCCATCATCCTTCACAGACATTACCTCTAGTAAATCTCTTGCATGCCTGATTCTTTCACAGTGTTTGCTTCCTAAAGGACCTGGACAAGTCATACCTATATGTGGAAAAGTGAATATTTCATTGGTGTACAAATCAACGAATTTTCACAAGTTGAATACATTCATGTAAGCAGCACACAGATCAAGAGAAAAACATTACCAGTGCCGGAGAAATCCCCTTGTCTCCCTGACAGTCTCTACTGCCACCCAAGGGTAACCACCAACCTGACTTTTAACAGCATAATCTTGATACTAAAACCTGAGAAAGATATTACAAGAAAGGAAAACTAGAGGCCACTGTCTCTCATGAAAATAGATGCAAAATTCTTATTTTAGCATAAGATCATTTTTGCAAAATATTAGCAAATTGAATGCAGCAATATCGCCACTTGTAGCCAATAATACATCTAGAAACTTGGCATCTTTTGAAACGATTCTTCCATTGTAAATAAAATTTGAACACTTCATCATGAACTTCAAGCACTTTCTCACCAATGATTATTTCTTCTGTTCCTGACTTTTCCATGCCACTCATGTGGAAATTTTGGTTACTAGGTGTCCATGATTTTTATGATAGCTTCTTGATATGCCAGCTTAGCTAGGCTGAACAAGTTTACCAGTTATCAATAAAAGATTCATCTAGATGCTGCTGTGAATGAATTTTGCAGATGTGGTTAAAGTCTATAATTAGTTGACTTAAATTAGGGGGTTATCTTGAGAGGGCCTGACTTAATCAGTTGGCAGACCCTAAAAGGCTTATGTTTTCCTGGGGAGAGAGAAAGACTCCTGCCTTGGGACCACATGCCTGTTGGGTTCCAGCCTGTCTGTGATCGTCCCTTCCTGACGGCCTGCCATATAGACCTCAAACTGGCCATATAGACCATATGGCCAGCTCCTACGATTGTGTGATCCAATTTCTTGTGATAACTCAATCTCTGTCTCTCTCTTCCTTCCCACCCTCCCATGCTCCCTCTCTGTCTCTCCCTCTTTCTGTCTCTCTCTGCCCCCCTTCTACACATACACACACACATATCCTACAGGTTCTGTTTCTCTGATTGAGCTTGGACTGATACAATTACTCTGTTGCTGTTGCCAAATCAATTATTCTACTTGAAATTTTCCCAAAGGCTTTGAGCAGATACTTTTATTTTCTGCAAAGTTACACTCTGAGTTGCTGCTTTAACAACTTGGAATTGTGGAAAGCACGAGCTGTCAGGAGATGGAAGTTCCCAGCCCACCAATTTACCAACTGAATGTATGCCCATGGACAAGTCACTTAAATCCCTTGGGTCTGTCTTTCCTGATGGGCAGCATTAGAGTGTTGGCTGAACTGCTCTCTAGAAGGTTCCTTCAGCCCAACATTCCCTCGGTCAGAGCCTGTGAGAGGACAGAGGTGGGAAAAGAGATGCAGTTTTGCAATTTCGTTTGCTTAGTTCAAGGTTGTTCTTTTCTTCAATGATATCTTCCATTCATCATGTCGTTTTAGATTTTGGCTTTTTGCCAAGCAAAAAAAAATTCTTAAAAAGGCGAGTATAATAGAGACCAGTTTGAGGATGGCAACTGCATGTCAATGGATGGTGATAAATGGTACATTTTATATAATCGATGACAAAGTTATAGATCTTATTATTTCATACTTTGGATTCACTTCACTTGCTCAGAGTCTCCAGAACATGAATAATGACTCTTTTGCAGTTTAAATGTCTCACCTTTACTTGGTAAATGATATTGCATAAAGTATCTTAGGAATAATTTAAGGGAAAAAACACAGAAATTTTTGACTAGAGTTGGTGACCCAGGAAGGTGACGAGGTCACCATTCCCCGCTCCAGTCCTGCTTGAGTACCTGGATTTCCAGGAACTTTTTCCCATCTGGGATTTGGCTCAAGCTGTTCTTTCTGGCAGTGACTTTCACTTTGGACAAGTAACAATGTCTCTCAGCCTCAGATTCCTCCTCGATAACAGGCAGGGCTGGGACAGATGATTCTGATGGCCCATTCATTCCAGCTGGGAAATGGTCTGAGCATGAAATTTGAGTATGAAATTTCAGTACCACCTTTCTTGGAAAAATAGAAAACAGAGTAATGAGAAAACTCCTTTGGCTCATTATTTGAAAATGAGGGACCGGGAAGATTGATGTGTTTGCCCTGAAGAAACGTAAGCTTGGATTTTGGTCTGTAAACTGTACACTTCGAAATTGTGAATTTTTCAAGACAAAGAAGTTGTCTACTCTTGGTTACCTACTCTATTTATAGCCCATGTCAAGACTAAGAAAAGCTGTGAGACAGAGGGGCCAGCAATCCTGCATGTACCACTCTAAGACACACGATTTCCCCTCTGCCTGGACTCCGCTGTGATGGGCATCTTGTTCCTTCTCCTTGTCATCTGTGTCAACCTGCTTTCCCCTGTATTTACCTCTCCATCCCGCAGTTACTCCCTTTGTCCTATTGGCTCACATTATTCTTGTTCAGGCCAAGGGAATGTGGTCTTTTGCCAAGAACCCCAGAAGTAATGGCATAGGGAGTGAGTAAAATGCTAGCTGAGGCTGCAGAGACATATAAATGGATTTAGATTCAACCAACATTTATCACATGCTCACTGGGTGCCAGCCTGTTACTGGAGCTCTTAAACACACTCTGTCATAACAACTCTGTGGTTCAGTGTAGTGAGCTGAGTGGTGACCCTCCTCCCTGCAAAAAAATAGTTATATATCTACATCCTGATCCCCAGAACCTGTAAATCTTCTTATTTGGAAAAGGGTCCTTGCAGATGTAATTAGGTTGAGGATCTTGGGATGAGATCATCCTGGATTATCCAGGTGGAGCCTAGATCCAACGAGAAATGTCCTCATAAGAGTGATGCAGAGGGAGAGTTGACACTCAGAGAAGAGGAAAAGGCTTTGTGACCCACTAGGCAGAGATTGGAGTGATGCAGCGACTAGCCCAGGAATGCCCAGGAGCCACCGGAAGCTGGAAGGAGCAAGGAACAGATTCTCCCCTAGAACCTTTGGAGGAAGCATGGCTCTGCCAACACCTTAATTTTTGATTCTGGCCTCTAGAAATGTGATATATTAGATTTCTGTTGTTTTGAGCCTCACAGCCATGGTAATTTATTACAGAATCCTAGGAAACTAGTACACAAGTAACCTCCATAGAGGGGATAACCAAGAAGAATCTTTGATATCAATGGGGTCAGTGGTCTCCTAATATTTATTTGAAATGGGATCTCTTTTTCAAGTCTTGCTTCTTCCTTTCTAATGGAGACCTATGTTTTTCTGAGTGTCCATCCTTCTCCAAGCAGCAGTGTGCCTCAGGGAAAGCCGGTCCCACTCCAGCTTCAGAGCGTGTGTTCCTTGTTCTTTTCTTGTGAGGAACATATGGCCTCATTCTGGCTGATGAGTTGTCAGGTAAAGTCTGATGAGCCTTCTGGGAAAATTGTCTTCAATCCTAATAGAGAATCAGGAGGTGACACTCTTTACTTCCACAAGGTGTCAGTGGATCATATGCGAAACTTATAAGATTATAAGCAATCTGTCTCCTGGCTTGAGGGTGAAATCTGAGGATGGCAAAATGGAAAAATTAAAAAAAGAATGACAACAATCTTGGTCCTTGCAGATATCTTTAAGGCACTGAAGCTTTTATTATCTCTGGACTTAATATTATGTGAGTTGACAAATTTCCTTATTTTTAATACCATTTTGACCAGAGATTCCTTTCCAGGCTGCCAGAATCTTCCTGACTGGTTGAAGGCTCCCTACTGGTCTCTTGTCTCCAGTTCTGCTGCTGTTGATCTTCATGTCAGGCTCTGAAGTGACTTCAAGGATCATTAAGGCTCCAAATAATATAGTTTTAAACCAAGGATTGAGTACAACTCTTCTTTTAGAGATGCAACAAGATGGAAAAGAACTTATTCTCTGGGTCCAGAGAACTGTGTAAATTATCCAACTATATTTTGTAGAAATTTTAAAGACAATATGTTTTGTTTTGCTCTGAGGATAGGACAAATTTCTGTATCCTATGACACACAATTTTTATTCAAGACAGTCTATGTACCAGGAATTGTACAGAACCCATTTAATCTTCATAATAGCCCAACAAGGCATTAGCTAATGTACAGATGAGAAGATTTAGGTTCAGAACTCAAGTATTGTGTGCAAGTTCACTTGGCTAACAACTTGTGGGGGTCAGATTTAAGCCCACATCTTTCAGATTCCCAAGACTGCCCGTTAATTAGCTGAATTAAATAACGTCTGTGTTCTTCACTTTCACATCAAACATTTGCAATTTATCAAATGTTTATATCTTTTTTGTGTATTACTTTAAGGGAAAACATTTCAAAAGAATTAAAAGATTTTGATAATGTCAGTATTGTGCTGAAATAAATCAATGAAAACTAATTCAAAATCGAATTCTGGAGGTTGTCTTAAAACAAAATAGCGTCCAATAAATTTTGAAAATAGTACATGCAAATGTGCATCATAAATACTAATGGGAACCTCCATGTTAGGGGCTTTGAGTTCTTTATCAATCTGGGACCAGTCAGAAGACAGAAACAACATAAATTATTTGAAGAGAGAGAACTTAATACTGAGAATTGTTAATTAGGGCATGCTATAGTATCACAGAGGTAGCAATTTCAGGGCTCAGGGATCAAAGGGAAAAGACTAGAATGACACATATTAAAATTTGGACATTTAGAGGAGGGGTCTTGGAGCTGAAACTTATACTTCTGAGGAGGGGGCTGCTTAGCTGGTGCTGGTGCATTGGAGGGGCCCTGAAGAAGCTGGTTCTGTGATGTTGAAAAAAACAGCAAACTGGATTCAACCAGTCCCAAGGGAAGCAATGAGCCACTGCCAGGGTGGAAACCTTGAGCAGTGATGCTCATGGAAATAGGAAGTAGACAGGAAGTCCATGGGGAGGAAATAGGAAGGACCAAGCCTCTTCTTCCTTCCCCAGCCTTACAGCCTACTCTAGTGTCCCTCATTGCCAGACTTAACATGGAACCTACTGGCCAAGCAGAAATGTGGTTTGCAGTCCCAGACCCAGTGTCACAGAACAGAGTAGTAGAAGGGTGGTGTGGAGCTAAGACCCAGTAATTTAATAGTTGGCACTTGGTCCTCATTTCTAAGTCCTGTAAGATCCTTGCAAAGTAGCAATTGTCATTTCCATTTTGTGTTGTAGAAAATTGTAGCTGAGAGACATTAAGCTTTCCCAGAGTTCAGCCAGAATGTTCCGGAACAGGATTATAATCCAATTCTGTTTGATGCTGCAAAATTCTCTGAGGGTTAGCTTCTGACTCATTTTACTTCATATTCAACTACAACATTCAATAAATATTTATCACTCTCCTAGATGCCAAGCACTATTATGTGGAATGGGGATATGGTAGTGAATAAATCATCATCCTTCTCCTGGAATTTATAATCTCTATTAAGCATTAAAACACATACACATAGGCACACTATTTGTGGTATGAGTCTCACAATTTTAATGAATTTAATAACATTTTGAATGTATGTGTAAAAATAAAAGTTACAATATTTTACAAATGAGAGAAAGTAGGAAGAGATTTTAGAACAAAATATTAGTGAACTCTGAATTCTGAATTTTGAACAGACTTTATTATTTCCACTATTCCTTTTATCTATGTTTTTCTAGGTTTTTCAACACTGAACTTGCTTATATTTACTCTTTCTTTTTTTTCTCTGTGACTTCAAAGAACACATTTTTTTTGGTTCTGTTTGTTCTACTCTTATAATATTGGTTTCTAATTTAATTACTGTATGGCAAGAGATGGTGAACTGTTTATCAATTCATTGAAATTTGTTGAAACATTTTTATGAGATTTGTGTGTGTTGTTTTATTCAGTCATAATACTTCTGTTTTAATCTTTTACTCTAAAACATACCAATAATTGTGGATTTGTCCACTTTTTTCTTTAATTTTTATTGTGTATACCTTGAGATTATGTTTTGTGCACAAAGATGTAAACAAGGTCCTGTGTGTGCTATCTCTTTGGTAGATAGTTTGTTTTATCCTTTTGTGAAGTTGATCCTTTTATTCTTTTAATGTTTTGGTTCTTTTTTAATCCAATACTGCATATTGCTAAAATAACTTTCTTGGTTTTACGACTGGGAAGTTGTTTTCTATATTCAATGTCAAATTATATTTCTTGAATTAGTAACTAACCCATAAACAGTGCTTCTATGTGCCATGTACTGTTCTGAGTACTATCACATACAAAAATTCACTTAATTCTCACAACTTCCTATAAGATGGTTATCTTCATGGTACAGGTCAGAAAGCTGAGGAAAACTGTGCCCAAGGCCACATAAAAGATAAGTAGCAGAGTTAGGTTACAAATCCACGTGTTCTAGCTCCAGAGTCATGCATCTAACCCCTGCTTTTCATTGCACATAATTTATGGCTTAGTTAGGATTAGAATTTGGGGTTGAAAGTTACTTTCCTTTGGCACTTTGAAGATGTTATTCCATTTCCATCTGCATCAGCTTTCTTGCTGATGAGAAATCTGTTCTCAAACAGATTTCTTTGCAGGTGATCTATTCTTTTTGGAAATCTAGGATTTTCTCCTTTTTCTTTATGTTTTCAAGTCTCTCTAGACATCCCTGCTTTTTGCTTAGAACTGAGAATATCATCTTCTAATGTGAGAGTCTATGTCTTTTTAAAAAACCTTCTCTTCTGGAATATTTTTGGTTGTTATCTCCTTTGTCAACACCCATTATTTCCTTCTCTCGGCACTATTATGACATGGATGTTGGAGGTTCCCAGTCTAGCCTTTGTGCTTCTTTCACGTCCTTTATCTCTCTGCATTGCATTCTGGGCACTTCCTCAGTACTGTCTTCCCACGCACCCCCTGTTTATTCTCCTGGATGTAGTCAAGAGTTTATCCTAATGGGATTTAAAAAAATCATTTTATTGTGATGTAATTCATATACCATAAATTCAACCCATTTAAAGTGTACATTTCAATTTTTTTAATATATTCATAGAGTTGCATAACTATCACCACAATTTAACTTTGGAACTTTTTCATCACACCAGAAAGAAATCCCATACCCATTAGCAGTCACTCCCCATTTCTCTGGTCCCTTCAGCCCTTGAGTTCCCTTGAGGGGAAATAATCTACTTTCTGTCTCTATATATTTGCCTGTTCTGGATATTTCATATAAATGGAATCATACACCACGTGGCCTTTTGTGTCTGGCTTCTTTTACTTGGCATAACGTTTTTAAGGTTCATCTATATAGCAGCATGAATTAGTACTTTATTCTTTTTATGGCAGAATAATTTCCACTGTATAGATGTATCACATATTGTTTATCCATTCGTCAGTTAATGGTCATTTGGGTTGTTTCCACTTTTTCACCACTATGAATAATGCTGCTGGGAACATGCGTGTACAAATTTTTGTGTGGACATGTTTTCAATTCTCTTCGGCGTATACCTAGGAGTGGAATTGCTGGGTCATGTGGTAACTCTATGTTTAATTTTTTGAGGACTGCCATACTGTTTTCCAAAGAGGTGGCACTGTTTTACATTCCCACCAGCAATGTATGATGGTTCTGATTTCCCTACATCATTGCCAACACTCACTATTGTGTCTTTTTTATTATAAATATCCCAGTGAGTGTGAAGCAATCTCATTGTGGTTTTGATTTGCATTTCTGTAATGACTTATGATGTTGAGCATTGTTTCATGTGGTTGTTGGCCATTTGTATATCTTCTTTGGAGAAATATCTATTCAAATTCTTGTTTAAATTTTTTCCCCTTTTTATTATTGTAAAAGTTTTTAAAAAATATTCTAGATAAAAGTCCCTTATCAGTACACGATTTTGCAAATATTTTTTCCCACCCTGGGTTGTCTTTGCACTTTCTTCATGGTGTCATTTTCAGCACAAAATTTTAAATTCTGTTCAAGTCTAGCTTATCTATTTTTGCTCTCCGTGCTTTTCTTTTGTGTTGGATCTAAGAAACCACTGTTTAACTTCAGGTCATGAAGATTTCCTCCTATCTTT